GGCTTACTTGGGTTAATTTTTCGATTAAAAGATGTAGCTATTCTAAATAATACGCTGTAATTACTACTTCAATTGACAACTAAACAGATTTAAGTCTACTAATTATGAGAGATCAGGTGTTTATTACCTTTGCATTTATTATGATCGAAACTTTTTACAATTTGACACGCTTCATGTTCTTCATATTTGAATAAGAGAAACAGGAGTGGCAGCAACGTGAAACGCGCCGAGGACAAAGTTATACAATTCTAACTTACGGCTTCGTAATTACACGAAGAAATATGTTAGATCATATCTCGCGAAGTTCTCGCGTGTATAAAGAGTGTCAAGCAAATTTGTAACGCTCGTCGGACAGGCACATGTCGCATCGTATACAGCCACCGTTTCAGAAAGCCGAAGCGAGTTGCAGAAGCGGGGACAATTACACCGCCCGGCGTGGCGGCTAGTTGAAAAACTGTGGTTTTACATGGCGCGTTAAGTACATATAACAACCATCCGCAATTATGCGCCTGGAGACAAACGTGTATAAATAAATGTGCATCTCTATGCGCGCGTACATATATATATATATATATATATATATATATGCGCGCGCTCCAGAGCGCAGAATGACTCACGAATGTCCCAACTATTGTGCGCCTACGCAAAGCAAAGCGCATGACATACTGCTAAGTCAGTCCTGTTACAAAGGTACAATGTTAAAATATCTGGGTACAGTTATTTGAATAATAAAATGGCTAGATACAGATAACGATACACGCTACACCGACTCTGTTCTGTTTAGCGGCGGTATAATGTTCTATATCTTCCCACCATCCTCTTTTTCTCTTCTTTCCTCGCCTAGATTCTCTGATACACGCGTGTTTGTTCAAAAATGCAACTACACTGAGAAAAAAAATATAGTCAATTTTTTAATAAATATTTAGTTCAAGTACTGCCAACTAAACATTCACTTATAGTAAATAAGTATTTTGTTAAATAAACAGAACGATTGTTAAATCTCAAATTAATGATTCTTCTATCAAATAAATAGATCTCCAATAAATACTTAGTTGGCAGTATTCAATTACAAAGTATAATTACTTTGGGATAGTAATCAGAAGGTAAACCACAAATTAGACAAACGTGAAAAACGATACCCAGATGTTTAGTCCATAGTAGATAAAAGACTTGCGTTAACTATGAGTGCACAAGACGGAAAGGTGGGGAAAATCGAGTCTTAGGTCAAGGTTAAGAGCTCGCACTAGAAAGTATGATCGAGCATACGCGAGGGATTGCTCGCCAAAGATCAGATATCAGAATCATAAATGCCAGCTGGCGAATATATGCTTAATTTAAAAGCCGGTTCAGCTCCATTTACCCACGGTATAATATTGTAATATAATCGATATAAATTTTCGAGGAACACATATAATAAATGTCAAATTACGAATAAAATTTGAATTTGGGATCTTAATATATGTAGATGATGTTATCATCATTTGCTCTTGATTTGCATTGATTTTATTTGCAAGGTAATAAAATTATGATTACGCTAACTTAACAAATTAAGATTCTAATATTTCTGCTTTTATATGTATGTTATCCGCAAGTTTCGCGCTAATCATAAGATTCGAATATTTCTGCTTTTATATGTTGTTCACAAGTTTTGCGGGCAACACATATAAAAGCAGAAATATTCGAATCTTATGATTAGCGCATCCGAACACGCCGTTAACTGCTAAGTGGAACTGCTAGCGTAGCTCACTCCATCTTATTTACGATTTCATCGTGCCACCTGCGACAGAGATTACGTCTTCTGAACAGGTTTTCATACCGCATTTGCAGCGATGTTCGCCGCTGTAGATCGCTGAAAGTCTAGTCGCACGTAGAAAAGGAATCTCATTGCCTTTGTTGGAGTGCATCGGGGAAAGAGGTCGCGGAGAGAGGAAGAGGATGCTTCAGAGTCGAGATTATACATCAGATTCAACGCGCCGACGGGCGACGTCGTTGCTGATGCCACTTGAGCTAGAATCGTATCTAAATGTACCTCGTATATCAGAAATCGAACCGTTCCCTGCGGCGTGTGTTCCGGGAACGGTTTACGTACGTCATTTCGTGAAATGGCCGTATCCAAAATGGAGCATCGCACGCCGCTCTACTCCGTCGCAGATGCGCGACGACCATTTCTCGTACCTGGCGACAAGCCGCGTGTGGAAATTTTCTTTGACTGTTTTCCGCCGCCGTCACCGCCGCTGCCTTACGAGCGGACTCATGGGACGTTTCAAGTATTTATGATAGGAATACAAGATGCAACGAAAGATCCACGGAGCGGATGAAACGTTAACG